CGATAGGAAAAATGTGTCGTCCGAATTAGAACATACGCGTGGGTGCCGATCATCCACTGGTTTATTGACATCAAATATTGTTCCGGCGTTCTCATGGCTTCATCATCGACAAAATATGACGAAAAACACAATCGAAAACTCTGAAACGGTTTGACGAGATACCGAATATGTGCGCAAAAGTTGGGGGATGGTGGCGATGGTGGTGGTGGTAATTAATGAAATGCGAAGATGCATTTTAAGTTATCGGGGAAAAGCACGAACAGGTGGAAAGGATGAATAATTTTTGCTAGATTTGGTGAAGACATTTTGTGTGGAGAACCATATTTTTAAGTTAAGTCTTCGGGAGTTGTCTAATCGATTCTAACATTTCAACACACACACTCTAAAAAATTACCATTCAGATAGATGTTTGGAATGTATAATGATTAATTCTCGAGTTGTCAGCACCTATCCTCGGATTCTGAAATTTATCAACAACCTCGGACCTTTGATGATCGCCCCGAATCTTGTTTTTTCACCCTCTCTTTCTTATTTATTTTCACTATGCTGATATTATGATTATCACAGAGAACCAGAAAGTGGACAGGTGAGATCAAATAAGGTTCGGAGTTAATCATACGATACGAAACTCGATCACGCGGATACTCCTGATGCGGAAATTTGGGTTCGATTGGACTCATGACGCAGACATGAGTTCGTGCAGTTTATTATGATTTCTTTGTTTTATGAACGATATTATTATTATATATTGATTTTTTTTTGGCCAGGATCTATGTTATTCTCTATCGGAGGATCATCACCAGAAGGGCAATGTGTTAAAAGATTTAACAGTTATGATGATTTTGTGTTTTTATCAGCAAAGTACATCCCTTCCTGTGCAATCCACTCGGTATTCTTATCATTTCTCGACGAAGCTGCAACCTCAATTTGTCCATTAATTGGGTTATTATAAACCATCTCTTTGTTCGATGACAAGTATAATGACGTGTCGACGTGTAAAAGTTTGATTTTCTGCTCCCGCAACCAATATTTCGCGGAGGTATCTACACATATCAACTTCCAATTGTCACCTATATGAGAGCCAAAGGAGAATGAATCATTTTGTGTTCAACCTTGTGACCGAAAGATCGATGGTTATCTACCTGTATCTAATCCATCAAAAGCGCTGACTTCCTGTTGATTTGACAACGGGGACTTATGATGATGGCTGTGCAAGAATTTTCCTGTGCCAATGTGTTTCAATCGTATCGACGACCCACATTTGACAGCTTCCCTGAGGATTGAATTATGATTAATGAATTCCGATGTGCATGAAACCACCGACCGTAATTCTCACCCTCTTGAGCATTTGGATCCAATAATTGACTTGACAATCCAAAATGATTCGGGGTCATCAGAATTTGGAAGTCCTGTGACGCTCTGTTGGCCAGATCCAGTGCCTGAAGAAGGGAAGGAAGGAGGGTTTCGTTCTTAAAAGGCATATAAAATTAAATCAAAATAATGACACATCATCAGAACTTACCATATGAAATCGCATGTGAATGTAATTTATAATTTGAGGGACCATGAGTTAGCTTCACCGCCGAGCCGCAAGTTACTTCAAGAGATGATTCTTTTTTTAACATTCCATTGAGATCACGGCAAATGCGAACAGTTTGTGTACCTACCTTTTTCGAATTCTAAATTTCGAGAAAAATAAAGTAACGCATCATTATAAATATCAGATATATGTGAAAGTATGATTACTCGGCTAGAATAGACCGCGAAACAATATGGAGGTCGCACCAAGAAAGGGTGAAGAAGAGAACCGAAAACCTTGCCCAAGGGAATTCTTACCTTTATCAATATTTAAAACTTGACTTCTTGAAATAGATACCACGATGATAACGAACACGATGATTAACCCAATTCTAATTTTCATACTATCTTCTTATTAATCATATAAACGGGGTGTTAAAGAGAGAAGCAATCGGACTATTGTGCACGGGAAAAAATGTGTTGATATATAATTGGACGGAAATCGATTCGATCACGTGAACGAGAAATGATGTGCAAATGTAGTATACTTTTTAGCTAGGGGATTGGATTATTCAATCGTGGCCACGTAATCATGGGGAACATTAAAATTCTGAGATAGACTGCGCGATGTCAAGATCATAGTTAAATTTATAAAAAACGAATTACTTATAAATACTTTGAAAGTTCTCAGAGAGAGTGTGACGAATTTTGTGAGCAAACATGAATCGCACGACGACAATCCTCACCATGAAAAAATGCGTCTACCCTATTAAGTTTCGAAAAAACGTGATCACTCGTATGATTAGACCGGCAAGCATTGCGCTGACCCCTGGTATCGCGAAGTCTTACAGGTTTGCGAGATCTTCTCGATGTCAATTCTTCCGTACACTTGCTTTTTGAAAAGATTAATTAATGAGTGTTATTGAAAAAAAAAATCGTTTAATGAAAACGTAGCACGGACAGCTCCAACTTCAAGGACGTCTCTCCGTTTGCCAATGAAATTGATCAAATATATTTGACCATTCTCAATCAGCAAAATATAATGAAAGAAATCAAACAGTCGGAAAAGGAGTATCCGATCCTTCACGGGGATAAGTTTGAACAATTATTTGATCTTCAAACAGATGCTTTATCAAAAATTGAAAAACTCAACACGGAAACCGCTCAACAATACTTGGGCGACGGAGGGGAGAATGCAAATCGAACTTTTGCGGAGGAGGAAATAGACAAGCTAAGAAAGGAGCTGGATAGAACCGTGTCCCGAATAAACAGAGACTTTCCCGGAAAAAATTTGAGGCAGAAAGCCGGTGAAGGCTTACAATTGGTTCGACCATTCCATGAAACAATTGGCAACCTACACGAATTACGTGCAAGGTTGAACCAAACCGCCTCACCGATTCCCGAAAAAAATTTAAAATTTATCGCCGACCAGTTGGTCGAAATAGTGGACTCCGTTGAAAGACGGCTCGAGAAGATTATCCTTCATCAACGAAATGATTTATCAAAAGATTTTCTCAAGAACGCCAATGAAGAATTGAACGTGCAAAGGTCCCTCCTCGTGACCGAACGGCTTAGACTCGCCACCTCTATCTTTCTCACCGTGTTTACAAGCTTTTTTATTGTGCAATATTATCAAGATTATAAAAAGAAGAATTCGAAGTTCAAAAAAGAAATGTAAAGTTCATCATTATTCGTCGGATAAGAAAATCCGTGATACATTCATTTTTTAAAGGCTCGAAGATGATTTCCCTTTTCCGTGTCGCAATTTAAAAAAAAAAAAAAAAAAAAAAAATTTCCCAATGTTTTGACGAATCAGAATTGAAAATCATCCATTATCTCATGCATTTTTGTTATTGTTTGCATTTTGATCTCATTTGCCCGCGGATGCCGATGGTCACCCGGGTTGATAAAAAGGCGAAACAAATAACGATGAAAATCAACTAACATTTATTCAAGTCATTGTGATATTTGAGAGAATGTATAAAAAAGTAAATGAATATCATATGATTCCGTGGTAGATTATCCAAGTTTTCAAAACTATTTCCCGAATTTCAACCATTGCGATCAGTTGCTCGCAAGCATTGCAAATTAACAAATATGGTAAATTGCGCATTCGCCTTTTGTTTGTGTTTTTGTTTTTATTTTATTTTTCTTTCTTTCTTTCTCCTTATTTTTTTTTT